TAGAGAATTCTATTGGTCTTGGGCACTAGAAAATTCTGGGCTTTCAAGTCCTTGGAGAGGGGTGCTCCCCTCCCTGAGCTGGTGCCTCTGGCCTCCTGGCCTTTGTGCTTAGCAGGTGCACCAGCTGCCTGTGGAAGTGAGCCGTGTAGTGACACGCACGCCCTGTGGGGAGTGACCCCCTCCTGTCGTAGTGGTCAGAACAGAGCTCTCGCCTGACACTTCTTTCCCATTAAGGGGACAAAGGCTGTGAGTGAAGGTGAGCCACACTTGCTTCCTCGCCCAAGAGGCTGTTTCTCCGCTCGGGAGAGCAGGTCAGTGATGCCTGCCACAGAAGGAATTTAATAACGTCTGAAACGGAGCCGTCACTGGAAAGTGTGCAGGGCTTGAGAGGTTGTTTGTCAGGGGAGTGGTCGCAGGTATCGATGGCCGCTGGTGCTTGTCTGCCTGCGGGACGGTCCTTTCTGTCCCCTTCTGCTATAGGGTCGGTCCGCACTGAGAGGGGCAGGGGCTGGGGCAAAGGGGAGTGCTCATGCCTCAGCTGTGACGTCCGCGCCCCCTCCAGACCATCGGGCGGGGCTGGTGTGAGCATAGCCCCCACTTACTCTGGAGAAGCAGGAAGTTGGGATGTTTGTGTGCAATTTTCAAATTAAACAACAACAACAACTCTCTGTTGATTGGGTGAAACCCATAAAATGCAAATTTGCTCACCCCTATAGTAGCTTAAAACTGAGTGTGTGGAGGCCCACCTGTCTTGTTCCTGGGCGTTCCCCCAGAGTCTGGTCCAGTACCCGCGCATCGAAAAGCACTGGGCAGAGTCTTGTAGCGTGCCTCTCATTAAGGGGCGCGGTGGCGGGGTGGGGGGGGCGGCGGTAAAAACTGGGTTTTCAATGAAAGTTTTCTAAACTTTCTGGAGAAACGAGCATTTGACCAGTGAGTCTCCTTTGGCTGCTTCTGGCCGGCCTTGGTGGACGTCTGCCTCTCTCCTTTAAACTTCAGGTATAGAAGCCAGTTCCCTGATCAGAAAGATGGAGGTAATTAATTCATTTATGAACAGGCAACACTGAACTTAAAAAACCAAAATCTTAAAAAAAAAAAAAGCCAACTTTCCTTATTTAAAAACTAGTTGCAGAGAGAAATCGAGTGCTGCCAGTGTGATATGCAGATGAAGAAAGAATGCGGGGGATCTGGAAGTTTCGTATTTAATAACATTTATATATGACATTTGGGGAAAGCGGTAAATAAGGAACACTGTGATAAATAAGACTGTGGCATTGCCGTCTCTGATCAATAATGAATGTACGTAGGTTGAGAGACGATTTACTACACAGACACACAACGCTAGACGCCACCTATGTAGGTATCTGGAAGGCTGTATTGTTTTGTCTAAGAGCATTTGCATTGATCTTCTCATCTGCTTCTCTCTTCTGTGGAGCTCTGTGTTGTAGCTGGAACATGAACAGACGTGAGAGCTGCCTACTTTTTACCAAGAATCACGTTCTCCAAGCCTTGCTGTTCAACAGTAGCTACACCGACTGGCCAGAGACCGTTCTGGTCCCGGGCTCTCCGCGGATTTGACGTCATTTTCATTGTTCCACTATTAGGTCACTTCCAGTTCTCATTAAAACAGGAGAAAGGGCACCAAGATAAACCAAGTGCAAGTGCTTCTTAGGGGGGCTGTGCAGCTAGAGCAGTCTGGGGGAAGCGCAGCAGAGAACGGCCTTGCTCTGACTCCTTTCTTGGTCATGCGTCTGAAATGCAGGCCGCTGGCCAGTGGATGGCGCTTTCCGGCCCGACGACATCCCTTGAATTCCCAGACCAATTACTCAACAATGAGAGCTATCGCTAATTTACTGCGATCCCCTCCCTAACTGTTTAGAGGCAGTCTGTCGTAGATCAGGATGCTGTCCAGAGGGGGAGTGATCATCCTGTAAAGGGCTTTACAGCCCAACAATGGAGTCACCGGCTCACCTTTCTCTGTGCACCTTGCCCATACCTGTGTGCATTGGCTTCTAATGTTTCCTTTACCTGATTTCACAGCCCAGTGTTATACGAACTCTGTCTCCCCATCACACTTAGAAGAGTGCCGGAGACACACACATGCGTGCGTATGTGTGGGATGCTTGGCACGTGTTCGGGATTCTTTATAATGCACTTCGTGGTGCTTGAACGTCTCAGGTTGGAAAGAATCTAGTTTTACAGTCCAGATTATCTCACGATTACTACCCGTTCCTCAGTCAGCAGCCTTCATTTGCTCAGTCTTGCGCGGGGTCCACGGCAGGTACAAAAGATGAAGACCAGCCTTCTGCTCTTGAGGAGGGGTGACCCACAGTGACTTCCAGATAGTGGAGTCCCCCGCCCTGGGCCCCGTGTGTTCGAGGGCTGCCTCTGATCCTCCTCTGGCCATGTCTCCCACTCTGTGGGACTCAGAGTATACCCCTTCTAGACCGAGTCTCCGGTGTCCGGGATGCTGGAGTCCTTTACCCAAATGTCCCTGAGCCCACTCCCAGGGCCTGTGCAGGTAGGTGTCTTCCAGAATCTGACACCAAGGAACAGAACAGGGCTCCAGACAGATCCCAAAGTCCATAGGGTGGCCAAGGGGTGGTTGAGGTCCCCTTGGTGTAGGATAGAGTGGGACAGAAGACAGAGTGCTCAGCCTCCTTGGGCAGCCATGTTCCAACACCGAACTCCGTGGAGCCCCAGGAATCTAAATTCACACCCAGACTTCCAAGGTGTTTGGAAGCCATATTTGTTCAGGTAGGCGGCTGGAACTGTTTTATTTAAAAGGTTATTTAAAACCTTTGAACTGTTGACCCATGGGTGGTGGGCCTCATTGGACTGGAGCCCTGTTAGAGGTAGGCTCTTCCATAGTCTGAGCCACCTCTAAACCCTCCAGCTGCTGGCTTCCATCCTCGCCCACCCCCTCCAGAGGCCAGTCCCCCAAAAGAAAGCATGCTTGGCCCCCAGCGCTTGGAGCGGGGGTTCTCAGCCTGCCTGTGGGGAAGGGGGGCTCTGTAAACACTCTGAAAATTGCAAGGGCTCATTTGCATATGAGCTCTTTGCATTTGGTTGCTGAGAAAGCCTTTGCATTTCTCTATTAACAAATAGCTCAGTTGCCTCATTTCCTTACTTAAAGCACTCTGGAGTGTTTTCACTGAAGTGGCTCTGCACGCGCAAATGCACAATCAGCTGATAGCAATTTCAAAATTGCAGGTCTTGCTGTTGATGGAAAAATGGGAGCGTGGTTATTCCTGTGTGTAATCTTCACCACGAAAACGGGGACTGGGTTTCATGTCGATACTTTGAGATCTGATGTGGCCCTGTTACTGGAAAAACACACTTTTAGCCAAATCCTGGCTCACAGCAGGGTCTGTATTTGGGCTGCCCCTCTGCCACCCACCCCCCAGCCCTGCTCCTGAGAAGAAATGGGGTTTTAGCACAGGTTCAGCTCAGACCGGGACTGCACCCTGCTTGGTTTCTCCATTTTGGGGACACAGACTGCTCAACTCCGGGTCTTCCTCGAGGCGGGAGGAACCCTCCTTCTACTATTCAGGAAGGAACCCAGCACAAGGCAGAACACGAGAAAGGAAACGGGGTGGCAGCGCCCTTCACTCTGGCCTCCAACCCAGCAGGGGGAAGTTGGTTCAGAGCATGGGTCACAGTCACAGAGGGTTGCCACCGACCCCCGTCAGCCCCCAGTCCCCCGAAATGCTCCATGGTGTGTGTTTCCAATTAAAGTAAATCCAATTTGATTTTATTTTGAAAACGCAGAGAGGATGTCAGAACCCCCTTTGAGGCACATGATTGGTGATGCCTCAGGGGCGTCACAGAAACCAAGGTGGTTCCTCTTGGAAAACCCGGCCCTGCTGGAACAGTAACTTGGCCACAGAAGTTTCCTCTGGTAATTAGCAATTTGTCCCCCAGTCCTGTTCAATAGTGCTAATGAATTAAGCATATGCTTTTAACTTTTCCCACCACACTGCCTCCTGGCAGTCTTCTTCCTTCTCTGAGTGATGTTCTGGACGAGCACGAACGTAAGAAACAGACAAATGTTAATTGTCCCAGATGACACCATCACCCGCCTCCCAGCTCCGACCGTAAATGAGACTGGTAAACAGCTCCAGACTTAAAGACTTTTTTTTTTTTATTTATTTGACAGAGAGAGAGATCACAAGTAGGCAGAGAGGCGGGCAGAGAGAGAGAGGGGGAAGCAGACTCCCCACCAAGCGAAGAACCGGATGTGGGGCTCGATCCCAGGACCCCGGGATCATGACCTGAGCCGAAGGCAGAGGATTTAACCCACTGAGCCACCCAGGCGCCCCGACTTAAAGACTTTTTAAATAAGCCTTTTCCCAAGGCCAGTTCTGGCTTGGCTGTCTTCAGGGTGCCGGGGGGCCCTCCTGAAGTGTGCGTCTTGAGGACGCGGTGTAGGGCCAGGGTGTGCCTGGAATTACATTTGCTTATTCAGGTTAGTGCGGAGAGCGCAGGACGTGTGCACAGAAGACACTGGGCATCAGGTCTGCAGGGCACGGCCGGCTGGCCTTGGGCTCGGGGCTGCGCAGGCCTCTTACTAGAAGGGAGGACGCGCTCTGGCCTGCCTGTGTTTCCACCGCAGTGTCCTTGTACCGGGCCGGGCACAGGAAGACAACCCGTAAGTGCCCTCCAAGGGTCGTGACTGGGGGCACACTGGAAGTGTGAGACGGTGGACCCTGAGGAGTGCCGACTTTACCTCCCCCAGGGCGCCCCACCTCCCTGTCCCCTGGACCCCAGGGCCCTTGTGGAGGGCTTGGGGAAAACGGAGGTAAAGATTGCCTGCAGAGTCTTCCTAATTCCCCCAGGGTGGGGAAGTCTGTGGACACCAGATCGGAGGTGTGGCTGTGCCCCATCACTCTGGCCATGTCCACGTCTCCCAGCGGCAGCCAGCCCCACGAGGACTCCCCGCTGAGTGGGGAGGCCTGGTGTGTGTGTCCACGCAGGGCCCGACGCTGCTCTGTCCTTTGCAGACGGACCGTGCCCTATGGACTGTCCAACTACAGAGGAAGCTTCCGGGGAAGGAGGTCCACAGGGCCATTCCCGCAGAGCCCGCAGCCCTCCGAGAGGACCCCGCGCTGCTCTTGTGTGCGGAGCCAGGACAGCGCCTGTTTGCACTTCTGCGCTGGCACCCTGGTCAGCAGGTATGACGCCGTCACACTCATCCGCGCAGATCTGGAGTCCTGGGCAAGTGAGACGAGGCCAGAAGAGTCTGCTGCATGGGCGTGGGGTGTGATGCAGTGTGGGGGTGGGGCGGGGCGTGGGGGCGGGGCCTGGGAGGGCGTGGCTGTGCCCTGGCTGGGGTGGTCAGGAGCATGACCCTGGCTCCAGAGGTGGGTCCAGCCCTCTTGGTCCCTTTCAGAACAGAGCCTGCAGGGTGGCCACAGCAGTGTCTGGTCTCCAGACACACTTCTGGACTGCCCAGCACTTTGCCAAAATCTGCGTAAGTTGCCAACATTTAAAGATTGAAGAATTACCCACCCCTGCCAAATGTGTATCTTTAGCTTCTTCCAAACAGCAGATGAGACCATCTGGCCCCACGGGGCCCCACCTCCCCTCCTGGCCCCAAGAGGCTGGAACCGCGTGGGAGCCACTCCCATCCGGGGGGATGTGCTTCCCGCATCCGCCTGCGTCGCCCCTCACCTTACTTTGGGGACCTCAGGAGCCCTTGAGTTTGAGACCCTGTAGCCGACTCTGACAGCTAAGAAGTCTGTGAATCTGTGCGGACCTGAGTAGATGAGCAGACCCCAGGTTTGACCCCGGGTGGCATTCGCTCAAGTGGGCGGGTGCCATTGTGGTCAGGGACCCCGGATTCTCTGTCCAAAGCCCCAGTGCCAACCTCATTTTCTTTGGCTTCGTAACATCCGGTGAATAACTGAGGAGCGAGTCGACTGTGCTCGGGTAGGAGTCGGCCCGCTGTGCGCTCAACCGTGGGACACCGCGCCCGAGATGCCGTCCCTGGGGAGTGCGCTAATGTCCCGCTGCCCTGCCGGGGAAGAGGAAGTCCTAATTTGCACTGAGAAACCAGCCGCATGGAAATGCGGGTCGAGTCATTAAAACCAGCTCTCTCCCCACAGGAACTCAAGGACGGCAACAAATCCTGACAAAGAAGAGCCAGCCAGCGGTGCCGACGGAGGCCTGCGTCCGAGGAGGTGAAACTGCTTTCTGAGGCGTCACACCCTTGGGGACAAGGAGGGTGTGAGGGTGGCATGTGGTCGTGAGGACAGCCGGTGGGAGCCCCAGCACGCACGGGGTGCAGCATCCACAGGGGACAGGGCCTTCGGTACCTTATCTCTGGGGACAGAGCAGGCTGGAGCTGTGGACAATCCCTGTCACTGCCCGGCCCCTGGGCAGCCACTTTCTCTCACAGAATTGACCCCTTGCATCCCTTGCAGCTTCGGAGCCGCGACAGCTGGCTCTGGACTTCACTGGGCCTGGCCCAGACACAGCTAGCTGGCCTGCTGCTCGGACACAACCCTCCCCCGACCCCAACACCCCCGGCTCATTTACCTGGGCCCAGGTGTCGCCCTTTCCAGAGGCAACATGTGGTCGTTACCCAAAAAAAAAAAAAAAAAAAATCATCTCTGCAGCAGCTTGGCTTGGCAGTAAGGCCGCGTGTCCCCACATTGGTTTTTGGTTTTTTGTTTTTTAATCTGCTTGTCTTTTGGGTCTGAGAGATTCTGAGGGCCTCTTGCAGCCCGACTGGGTTTATTTGTCATTCTATCCATCAGGAATTGTTATTAATGGCTCCTACACATCTGCAATGGGACGGTAATTTATGTCCATAATAATAGCCTGGAGGTGGCTTGAGTTCCTACAGGGACTGATCAAGGGAAGATTAAACCGTGCTCCGTATACAGGAGGCTTTCCAAATTAGTGCCAGCGTTCTAGGCATCCAGGGAGACCCTTCGGCACCCGAAACACAAACGGAGAGGAGGGGGCGGGCGAGGCGGCAGAGAGAGGCCCCAGGAGAGCGCGAGCCGGGCCCCAGCTGGTCCCAGCCTTGCCTTTTCTGTCTTTTTCCTTTTTTGCTCTTCTCGCCCCACACTCATACTCGTCTCGGCAAGGGCGGGATGTGATTAAAACCATCCGTCCTTTGCATCATTTATTCATCCGCTCATGCATTCATTCAGCAAAGAGAATCGTGCACCTGTGATGCACTGGGCACTGTTCTAGAAGTCAGGGACAGCAGGGAGTGAGGCAAAGGGTCTGGCCCTGTGGAACTTAAATTGTGGGGAAGCAGGCAGCAAACAGATACGGTCTCCCTCCTTATCTGTGGGGCTACGTTCCCAGGCCCTCCGTGGACGCCTGGAACCACGACCACCACCGAGCCTCATCTGTACTGTGCTTTTTCCTCCGCATACACACCTCTGGGAAAGCGTGGTTTATAAATTAGGCACAGGAGAGAGTGACAACAATAACCCACCCTAGACTAGAAGCAGCAAAACAGTCTGCTGTAATAAAGGTTATGTGAATGTGGTCTCCCTGTCTCAAAACATTTTGGTCTGTACTTGGCCTTGTTGCGAGGAGGGGATGACAAGATGCTGTGTGGAGAGGAGAGTGAGCTGGACACACAGGCCTGTGATGCAGCGCGAGGCTACTGGGGACCCTCTGAGAGTGTCAGAAGCAGGGACATCTGCTTCTGGGCCGTGGCTGACAGCGGGTGACTGAAACCATGGCTAAGAGGGGACCACTGTACATGAAATAACAGAGTGAGATGTACGAGGGACAACAGGAAGGCCGATCGGGATAGGAAGTGCTGGGGCTGGTTGTAGTTTGGGATCCGGTGGACAGCGTGGTCTCCCTGAGCAGGTGATGCTGGCTTAGAGACCTGCAGGAAGTCAAGGGGTGAGCCAGGGGGATGAGGAAGGGGAAGAGATTTCAGGCAGGGACAACAGTAAGTGCAAAGGTCCTGTGGTAGGAATGTGCCTGGTACGTTCAAGGAAGGCGAGAGAGCCGTGCACGGAGAAAGTATGAGGTTGCTTTAGCTGTTGCTCTGTTACTGCTCTGTTGATGGTCCAGAAGGTGAGGAGGGTAGCACAGGTGCGTCTCCCTGGGGCCGGAAAGGTGGTTCTTCCCGGTCTTTGCAATTCATGTAAAGCTCCTGTAGGAAGATTTACTCAGGAAGAAACATCTTTTCTTATAAGCCATGGTCCCTACTTGCCTGCAAGACTCAAGTTAGTAATTTCCAGATTCACATTCTCAGAGTGGGAGCTTGCCACCATCCCGAGCTTGTGATAATCGAAGATGTGACCAGGCTGTGAGGCAGCTCCTGGCGGCCACGTCTGCTAGTGTGGTTGATTCACACCTTCCTGGGTGGATGGCAGGCTCTGAAATTGCCCAGAAGTACTGGCGAGAAGGTTCAGCAAAGCAGGCAACGGGGCTAGAGAGAGCGCGGGGGGAAGTCGCCATGTACGGGCAGTGGGAACTCTGCTGTGCCACTTGCCTTTCTCTCTTTCACTTCTTTCTCCAGGATAGGCTGAAGTCAAGGACGGACAGAGTGAGCGGGCCTTAGGCCTCCAGCATCAAATGCTTCCCCGGGCAGGGCTCCTCGTTCGGACTGTGGCTCTGTGGTTTTAGGAGCCCCCGCCAAAGCAGGCCCCGTTTCAGGGGCCCTCAGTCCCTGCTCCTGCCCGCTTCACATTCCCACCTCTTGGAGGTCAAGGAAGGTGTTTTGCCTCCCGGGAGAAGGACCCACCCAGAGGGTCCTCACTTAACAATACCGCTCTACCCCAAGAATGCCCCCGTCCGAAGGACCCGGTTTCTCTAATGGGTAAAATGATCCCAGATGTGCCCCAGAGCCTGACGCCCGCGGCTCGGGTTTCATGCAGGAAATTGTTTTTGGAGCGGTAGAGCACGTTGGAAAGCCCCTTGCTGGCTTTCGCCTTCTCCTGGAGGACAGGTGGGCTCCAAGCTGGCTTTGCACACGTGAACACGTATCCCCTTGTACCCGACGCGGCGGGTGGCGGGAGGGTACAGCATTCACGTCCTGACGGGGGGCGGCCCCGCGGCGGGAGCCAGGAGGGCGCTGGGCGTCGATTCTGGGTGCGGGTCGTAGCTCTGCGGAGTTGAGGACTGTGAAGCTGATCGGATGTAGACAGAGATTTTCAGCTGCGCTTGGTGCCCACCGGAAAGAATAGATCTTAAAAAAAAGAAAGAGAAAAAAGAACGATGTTTGTGATGTTTGCGACCAGCAAAGGAGCCCATGAGTATCTGTGGGCTTTGAACCCCGGGCGGGTGGCTGAGCGTCTGCTCTTGGTCGGGCTCTGACTTTCTGTGCCTTTTGCGGGTCGTCAGACCAGGGCACGGCGGGCCTCTTCCAGGGGAGCCACAGGAAAGGCAGCCAGCTCAGGGTGATTTGGGAGAATATTTGCTTTCATGAATACATGTGGATCTTTGGGGAATGGCTTCAAAATAAGTCACAAATGCAAACCCTTTGTAAATTATGTAAATTCCTATTTATCTATATAATTGGCAAGCACTGGGTCATGCCCAGCAGCTCACCATCCGCTCCAGCTGTGCTTTTGGCCAGCCCAGGATTACTGGATCTGACAGAGGGACGCAGGGCGATGTCACCAACAGGGACGGCCCCTCCCTCCGCCCCTCCGCCCCCAAGCCCCAGCCCACGCCAGCAGAGAGAGGAGAACCTCCATCTGAGGCACGCCCAGGTCACCCTGCAGGGAAATTCAAGGTGGTGGGAGACTGAGCCGTGGCCTTGACCAAATGTTGAGTTCTCCATGCGTATTTCCTAAGTTATTATAGGTACAAAAGTGAGTATCCGCTGTGAGGAAACAGAAGGGACTGGTTTGCCAGCAGGGGTGTGTAACGTAGAGAAGCAATTATTTATTTCGAGACCGTTCCTTACTTCAATTCCTTTACGTGGATCTGTTAAAAGTAAAGCCACTATATAGAGAGAAAGATTTTAAATTGTGTTCTGAATCCAAACTCCTAGTCCTTAGAGCTTGAATCACATTTTTAAAACGCATGTGAACTGTTTGGCTCTGTGGCAAGATGGTATCTTGGAGAGAAATTCATTCGTTGTGCTAACACTCGGAAAATACTGTCAAATGCATAATAAAAAAATCTTGAAGTTTTCTCTGATTTGTGGGTTTTTCTCACTGGTGTTCTATGCATGGTTACACATCGACTTTTCATGGACCTCCGGAGAGCTCGGAGGGAGTTACAGTCCAGGAAGTAGAATCCATCCAAAGTCAATTATGGAGGGAGGCGAGCATGGGGCTGCTTGAATTTTAAGGAAGGAGCGGGATTTGGGGACCATCTGAGCAAGATAAACAATTCAAGGCAGTCAGGAAGAGGGAAGTTTGGGGAGAGGATTGGCTCCTTTCCCTGGCGCTGTCCCCTTCACCTTGGTAGAGCCCCCGAGTGGCCACAGCAGGGCTGGGGCAGGAGTCCGGGGACAGGGCAGTCACGGCCAGCAACCAGCGGCTGACCCGAGCGGTCCTTTATATGGCCGTTTTCTTTTGCTCTGCTGCGTACAGTTCTTGAGACGAGCAGCCAGAAGCGACCACATTCTGTTTGATCTCCTCCCTCCCTTGCAGTCGCTTTAAACCTTGAGGACAGCGAGGGCGTCTCTCTGGGTTGGAAGAGTCAGAACAGGCTTAGGTTTCTTCATTTTCTTCCCCCTCCCCTTCCTTTCTCCAACCTCCTTTCTCTTTCTCTCTTTTGCCTCGAGGATTGGAGACTACCCGGGGCCAGGAAGTGGCCCGAAGCTCACCAGAGAGCAAAGGGGAAACCCGGGATTCTTTTTTTTTTTTTTAAAGATTTTATTTATTTATTTGACAGACAGAGACCACAAGTAGGCAGAGAGGCAGGCAGAGAGAGAGGAGGAAGCAGGCTCCCCGCTGAGCAGAGAGCTCGATGCGGGGCTCGATCCCAGGACCCTGAGATCATGACCTGAGCCGAAGGCAGAGGCTTTAACCCACTGAGCCACCCAGGCGCCCCAAAACCCGGGATTCTGAGTGGGCTTGATCACCCCTGGTCTGAGAAAACCCAAGAGCCTCTCATTTTAGTGGAACTCATTTAGGGAATTGTGGCCTGGATGCACTGGGAGTCCCGACAGGAATTTTCTCCTGCAGGATGTGAGGTCGTGTGGCAGTGGCTGCCAGGGCCCAGGGGAGGCACGACTGGGCGCCCAC